GTCGTGGGTGCCCGACAAGGAGGAGGCTCAGAGTCCCAGGTTCTCTCCAGAAACCAGGTTTTATTCCAGGGTCGGGAGCAGTGGATGGGGGAAGGACTGGAAAGGTCAAGGGTAGGACGGTCTGAGCCAGGAGCACCTCCGTGCGCTCCAATTTAAGGTGGGGAGGGTACAAACACAAGAACCAATCAAGGCATCTCAGGGGAGGAGTTGGGGGGAGGGTTTACAATGTTGGGGACCAATAGGAATAACCTGTGGGAGGGGCGGCAATCACAATGCCAATGGGGCCTCGAGTGAGGGATGAATGACAGGGAAGGAGCTAGAACAAAAGGTGGGGTTTACATAGATTGATGGGGTTCAGGGGCAGGAACAGGGTGATGGACAAGGAAGGTTCAGGAAAAAGGGGAGGGGTTTACAAAACTGACAAGTGGGTAAAACCATCACAACTCATGGGGGGAACAACATTAAGAACAAACCATTTAAATTAATAACCAGAACAAAATGAACAGGCGGCAACATCTCCCCCTTTCTTTTTTAGAAAGAGGAGGTTGCATCTGCAGGAGGTGCAGAGGGCTCAGGGAACCAGTCTTTAAGGGAGGGAGAGGGTGGAGGCGAGGAGGAAGGAGAAGGAGCATCCACAAAATTAACTTGGGGAGGAGGAGATACAAGGTGGAGAACAGATTGAATTAAACATCTCTTCAAAATGGCGAACGCAACCAAAATTATAAAAATGATGAAAACAATCCATAAAACAGTTTTCAGGATGGATGAGAGCCATCCAGACAGTCCCCAGTTGGAAAAGATGTTGGTGGCCCAGTCCTCATGTTCTTGTTTTATCTGGTGGACCATGCCTCTCATCTGTTCGATGGTCTGGCGAATGGAGGGACTTTTTGATGTCAAGTTCATGCAGCAAAGCCCCTCAAATTCCCTGCAGTCGTGGTTGTGCAGGAGCAGCAGGTAGTCTATGGCCGCCCGATTTTGGAGGGTGGCTTGCCTGGTGATTTCCTCGTCTTCGAGGAGGTCGCTTAGCGCAGCTGACGTTAAATTTGCTTGTTTTACTACCCAACACTCGAATTGGCCTAATTCTCCAAGGGCTTGAGCAGCGGCCAACCAGGGCAGAAAAACAGACACTGCTACCCGTTTTAGCTTACTCCAATGGAAAATTTCTGAGTCGCAGTCTGGGTCTAAGTCGTCCAGGCTGCGCTTCTTGATAGCCGAATTATTCTTTTGGCTCCAATTTTCGATTTGGGTCGTGTTGGGTGAAAACAAGGACAGCCGGCCCAGTGTGCACGGCCCTCCGAGAAGGCGAGAGGGGATGCCTGCCCATGCCCGATCCCCACAGATCAAAAATAAACCTTTGGGCAACTGAAGAGGGGTAGGGTTAAGGGTTGAGGGCATCTTCACATGTGCAATGTTCTGGCACCACTTGGCTGCCTGGAACTGCTTGTTCACTTGCACCACTTTGGGATAGGGGGCAGGGTTAGAAGGGTAATAACGAAAATGAACACAAAATGACGCTGGGGAGGAATCCAGAAGGTCGAACTCTTGGGGCTCAACGGTCGCCTTCTCCAGCGTGGCTTGCCAGTCTCTCCAGAGGAGGAGGGGGTTCTTCGCTGGCCTTCTGATCTTATACACCGGCGCTGAGCGGACGACACGTTGAGCCGGCCTTCCCCGGTTGGCGTCATGGAGCAAGGTGGTAAGGGAGTCGGGAAACTCTTCAGGCTTCAAAGGGATCCCCACCAGGCATGTTGACATTGGGTTTCCCGCTGCTCCGGTGGAGAGGCACAGCTCGTCACGCTGCAGGGACTTCGCCAACATGACCCACACGTTTTGCTTTGGCTGAGGCACGATCCACCCTTCCATCTGGGCCACTACCAACATCACACCGAAGATGATCTCGGCGACGCTTGGGGCTGTCATGTCTTCAGGGATGGCTCTCTCTAAAACAAAGCAAACACAAAACATAACTCAACTGAAAAGAGGAATCTTAAAAATAAAAGATTTGGGGTTTTTCTCCTCCTCCTCCTTGGGGGGTCCGGAGATGACCTATTCGGACGGGACAGCACCCTCATATTGATCTGGCGGCCTGCTTGGATGTTTTGGGACATACGGTTTCACCCACTTTTGTGGGATCCACCGCAGTCCTTGGGGCGAGGAAACGCAGGCGTATCCCCGTCCCCAGGCCACCAGATCGAAGGGACCCATAATTCGTTGGGTCTCGGGGTCTCGGACCAGCACTGGAGGGCGCTGCTGCAACTTGTAGCTGTTGGCAGATGTAAAATGCCGGGCCACTGGAGGGTTATGATCACCGTCTGAACAGTTTAAGAAGTTTAGGGTGTAAAGGGCCTTGCACAACCGTTCTTGTGGGGTGCAGCCCTTTACTGTCTCCTTCTGATGGACAAGGACGCGCTTGAGCGATTGATGGGCTCGCTCAACAATCGCTTGGCCTGTGGGGGAGTGTGGGATGCCTCTCTTGTGTGTCACTCCCCACTCCTGCAGGAAATCTTCCAGTTTCCTGGAGGTATAAGCTGGGCCATTGTCCGTTTTGATCTCTTTGGGGACCCCCAGCACAGAGAAAGCCTGCATGAGGTGTTTACATACATGCTCGGCTTTCTCCCCTGTGTGGGCAGAGGCATAGATAGCACCTGAGAAGGTATCAATGGAAAGGTGCACATAGCGGAACCTGCCGAATTCTGGGACGTGTGTGACATCCATTTGCCACACCTCACAGCTCCCCAGGCCTCTGGGGTTGACCCCAGCTCCCAGAGAGGGCATTGCAGTGGACTGACAGTGTGGGCATGTGGCCACGATGGCTCTGGCTTGATCTCGCCTCAGGTGGAATTGGCGGACCAGCCCAGGCACGTTCTGGTGGAACATCTGATGACTCAGCTTGGCTTGCTGGAATACATCAGGGAGCTGAGCCATAGTGACAGGAGTAGCGAGGGAATCAGCTCTTTCATTTCCCTCGGCTACCGGGCCAGGGAGTTCAGTGTGCGACCTCACGTGCATCACGAAAAATGGCTGCTTTCGGTGGGAAACGGTAAAGATTAACTTGGAAAGCAGCTCAAACAGCTGCGGATTGGAGACCTCCTTTAGGGCGGCATTCTCTGCCCTAGCTACCACCCCAGCAACATATGCCGAATCTGTAACCAAATTAAATGGTTCGGGAAATCTCTCAAAAGCTCTGACGACAGCATCCAACTCAGCGACTTGTGGAGATCCCTCCACATACTTAACATCCGCTTCCCACCGCTGAGTTTGAGGATCCACCCAAGTCACAACTGACTTGTGGGATGCTCCAGATGCGTCAGTGAAAACTGTCAGGGCTTTGAGGGGTTTTCGACTCCGAATTGAACTTGGAATGATGTTAAATTTAGCATTGAAGAATTTGTGTGCTGGGGCGTGGACTGAAACTTGTCCACTGTAGCTATCAAAAGCGATTTGGAGAGCCTCGTTCTCCTGCAGCAGCTGTTCAAACATCTCCTTTGTCAGCTTATCTGGGGACGCCCTGTCCCGAGACAAGCTGACAGGCACCCGTACACAAGCAAAGTCGCACCCTGCCATCTCCCTGAGCCTGGCTCGAGCCTTCCTGACAAGCTGAGCCACCAGCTCTTGTGGCCGGGTGATACTCTTGGATCGTTGATGGCTCAGGAATACCCACTCTATGATCAAGAGTGGGTCCCTTGAGCCTTGATCCCACTGAAAGATGAGCCCACACAGGTGCGGCAACCTTCCCAGAATGATATATTCAAACGGCAGGGTCGGCTCATATCGATGTGCCTGCCTTTCCATTAAAGCAATTTGTGCCTTCCTCAGTGCTTCCCTCGCCTCTGGAGTCAGGGACCTAGGAGAACTAAGCTCCTTCTCCCCCTTCAAAAGCATGAAGAGGGGGGCTAGGTCTTCGGTGGTGAGGCCCAGCCAAGGTCTGACCCAGTTCAAGGTCCCGCACAGGGAGTGAAGGTCTGCCAAAGTCTTTGGATTACTGTTGATAGCCAATTGTTGAGGAACAATGGTCCTCTCAGTAATCCTCAGTCCCAGATACTTCCAGGGTGGCATCCTTTGAACCTTGTCTTCCTGGAGCTGGAAACCTGCAGATGTTAGAACTCTAACCACTAGGTCAAGTGATTGAGTAAGCATATCGTCATGGGGGGCGCACACTAGGACATCATCCATATAGTGATAGATGATGACCTCCCCCATTTTGGCGCGAACGGGAGACAGCAACGAAGAGACATACCACTGGCAGATGGTCGGCGAATTTTTCATCCCTTGGGGTAGCACTCGCCAGTGGTATCTCTTCATTGGGGCTTCTCGGTTAAGAGTGGGCACCGAGAAGGCAAACCGTGGGGCATCGTCAGGGTGTAGGGGAATTTGAAAAAAGCAATCTTTGATATCAATCACTGCCAATTTCCAATTTCGGGGGAGCATGGTAGGGGTAGGCATCCCTGGTTGAAGGGGTCCCATGTCCACAATGACCTCATTGATTTCACGAAGATCGTGAAGGAGCCGCCACTTATCCTTCCCCGGCTTACGGATAACAAAGACCGGGGAATTCCAAGGGCTTGTGGTTTCTACTATATTTCCCTTATTAAGTTGCTCCTCCACGAGTTCGTTGAGCGCCTTTAATTTATCTTTTCTTAGCGGCCACTGGTCAATCCAGACCGCTGTATCAGTTGTCCAATCTAATTTCTGGAAAGGGCGCTCTACAGTGGCCGCCTCTAAAAATCCCGAGGGGTTTTCGGGATCTCGATTTTAACCCCCCACTGGGACATGAGATCTCTTCCCCACAAGGGAACCTGATAGTCAGCAACAAATGGGCGTAAATTTGCCAATTGCCCATCCGGCCCCGCAATTTGCACCACGCT